CTGTCCCACAGTCCCTTGTAACTTCACACGACAGGCTCTTATTGGATTGTCCAGGCTGGCCTTGAGCTCACTCTGTAGCCATGGTGGACCTCGAACTTATGACCCTTCTGCCTCAGCCTCTGGGGGAGCTGGGATTATAAGCACTACCACCAGGCTTAGTTTTATCCTCTGGGTTGATTGTTTGTTTAAATAGATTGGTATTATTCTGTTTTAAGCATGTTAAAATTACTTTATTCTTATTATTGTAGTTTGGATTCTAAATATTTCTTCAGATACTCTATGTATCTCAATGTGTCTCCCTCTCCATTTTTCCCTTCACTGTCTGCAGCTTGGGTTATAGTTTTTCCTTTGGACCACAAAATTGCTTAAAGGAAAATTTAGATTTCTTTTTTTTCTTTTTGCATGTGACAAGGTTATTTATTCTCTAGCTTTCTTTAAAACAAATATTTAATTACAAGCTGGGTGTGGTAGCCCCTGCTTGTGATCCTGGAACTACAAGAGTGATGAGCTAGCCTGGGATACATAGCAATGTGCTGCCTCAAGTATCATTTTCATCATGCTATGGTTTTCACGTCCACATTTTACTGGGGCTACTTGTTATAAATACTCCATGACCATTAAAGATGTGTCTTGCCATATTTGTTTTAAGAACTGGAGCTCTATCAAGTCTATCTTGATGTTATTTACATCTCTTTTATTGTCCCATGACTATTTGGTTTGTCCTGAACTGAGAAAGATCCGTTAAATGATTATAGTAACTTCTTTTTTTGTTGTTTACCCTTTTATCCCAGGTCTGTTTTGTTTAATGAGACTTAATACTATGTAATATTTGGGGCATAGATACTAGATAACTGTTGAGGGTAAATTTCTTTGTATTATTTCGTGCTTCAGGTTCTGGGTTCAAGTTTGACTGACATTAGAGTTATTCTCCTTTATTTTGACTTCTGAATCACATTTAAGTGCTTGTAACACAGCATCTAATAGAGCTTTAGTTTATCGTCTAATGTGAAGGTTTTATCTTAGTAGACAAGGTTAGCTCATTTATTACTAAGTCAGATGATTCTGGTCCTAGGTTGTGTTTTCCTCTGGATTTTCCTTGCCTTTCTATAGTGTTTTTCATAGAAGACGGGCTCTTTCCACTGATTTCCCTGTCACACTTGGTCTACACAATTAAGCTTCCATGTTTTCATTGTCTAGACATTAGAAAAAATCTCTTGTCTTTGATGTTTGGAAAAGTGCTGAAAAATGTATCTGTGTTAGTTCACTATTGCTTCTTAACAAATTACCACAAAATATGGTTGCTTAAAACAAAACATATTTCTGATCTTTAACGTCATGAGGGTTGGGGATAAAGACATTGCTCAGCCAGGTCTTTTCTGTCTCAGCAATTTTGCGAGGTTATGGTGAGGGCATAGGTCTGGTCAGAAGTCTCATTTGACACTCAGCTGGGGAAGAGTTTGTCACCGGGCTCCCAGGCTCCCTGGGTAATTATTGGAAGTTCCCTGTTCCTTGTAGGTTGTTGGAACAAAGGCTGAAGTTTCATGCTGTCTAGTTCATCAGACTGGCCTGTTTATTGTAGCATGGCCTTTTCTAATATGGCAGCTAGTTTGACCAAAGAAGGCAAGCCAAGAAAACAATCCAGAGAGCCTTTAAGGAGGGCAGAGATCCTAGTGTTTTATGAACTAATCATGATGTCACATCCTGCCATTTGTGCTGCATTCTGTGGGTAAAAGTGAGTCCAAGGCAAGGAAAAATGGTGGACATGGTTGTCTGCAAAGTCACTGGAAAACAATGACTTCACCCTCGGCTTCCAATTCAGGGCATTGTGATAAAGAGGCTCTCTGAGGTGTCCAGCACCATCCAGAAGACAATGGTAACAGCTCAGGCTGCAGAACTGTTAACAGCTTAGCCATCAACTCCTACAGACATGCCAAGAAGAAGAAAAAGCAAGAATAGACTATCAAATGCTGCCAAGGAACCAGCAACTGTGCAGGTTCTTAGGGACACATTACCACAGGGTTTAGCTAATATGTGCCTGAAAATGCTTGTAGAAGGAGGAAGACAAGGAGGCAGAGAATACTGAAAATTCCAAATTTAGGACAATACCAAATTTAACTAAGCATGCTGGGAAAACCATCCTGGAGAGGCACTGCCAGTGGCCGCACCTGGGGCCAAGACTGCCATCCCAAAGCCTCCTTTGTGCTTACTCCCCCTTTTAAAAACAAAAACAAAGCCACCAATCTGGCTCCCAACACTAGAGTTTTACCTATGCTTGAGTTGCATGCAAACAAAAATCCCACCATATTCTCCTATTCTAATCACGATACATCTGCTCCAGTGTCAGTGAGCATTTGCCTTGTTTCTACCTCTGTAATAACACAAATCCTATTGAAATGGGCATCCCTGATGTCTTCATACAGCATATATTCAGATTTCTCTCCGCAATATTCTTGGGGATGGATTTATAAAATTGACAGTGTATAATGCCTGTAACAAATAGTGATGGATGTTTTTCCAAAGTTGCTCGAAAAGTTCCTGGTGGCTATATCCTTGTCAAGAATTAGAATCCTTGCTGCACACTGGTCTCGAATGCCTTTAATCCTCGGAGGCAGAGGCAGGAAGATCTCTGTGAGTTCGAGGACAGCCTGGTGTAGAATGAGTTCCAGGACAGCCAGGGCTACATGGAGAAACCCTGTCTCAAAAAGGAAGAGGAAAAGGAGGAAGTGGGGGAGGAAGGTGGGAAGAGGAGAAGAATTCTCCATCTTTTTCAGTGTATGTAGAAGTATCTAAAGATGGTCTTAATTTGCCTTTGCCTGATGGCTAAAGAGACTTCGGCATATTTTCATGTGCTTCATTGCCATTTAAATATCATCTTATGAAATACTCAAGTCTTCTGCCCATTTTTCCATGAGGCTTTTTTTTCTTATTTGATCTTTAGTAGTTTTGGTTTGTTTTCTTTTTTAAAAAAAATGTGCTAGATATACTTTGTTGGTTATGTGCATTGCAAATACCTCCCCCATCTATTGCAAATACCTTCTCTCATATTTTTATACTTGCCTTTTAATAAACAAAAGCTCTTCATTTTAATGGAGTTTAATTCATTTGTGTTTTTTCCTCCTTTATTTAAGTTGGTATTTTTGTATCCTGTTTAAGAAGACTCTGCCTAACCTCCCACTCTTTGGCTTTGATAATTAGAGAAGTTTCATGAGAAAGCCCTGTCCATAAAATGCACAATGAACAGTTCACCCCTCCTCCTTCCTCTCTTTCCTAATGTGGCCATTATTTCTCCTAACCCCAAGCACTCCTGCCCTTAATTGTGCTCCTGGGTCTGCCTTGCCTCGTGACCACGTGTCTGAACATTGCTGCAACAATCTGGAGGAACTCTTGGGTGAAAGTGCAAGGAATCAAACATTTAATGAGGTGCAGTCGTCTTTATGGGAGCAGCTGTGCTGTGCGCGCGCGGGTTCTCATCTTTTTACCGTTCCATGGAGAGGTGAACAGTAAGGGGAACGTGCAGGCGTCTCTGGACCCACGTGTGCTGTGCAGCAGTCCACCTCAGTCGCTGACTCTTTGAAGGCTCGGACCAGCTCCCACACACTTGAAAAGTGAGAAGGAGCTGTGAGCTTTTCTTAGCCTGTTGTAAGAGCCCCCTCCACTGCTGTTTGCCTTCCTTTCTTCTTTATTTTTGTCCCTCCAATCTCTGCACATTTCTTTACTTCAGACGGCACAGTTGCACATCTGTTCTGTGCAGATGTTTGCGATTGCTTGGAACAGCAGACTTCTAAACGGAGCATAGCACACCCTTTGCAAACCTCACTGTCGCCTCCCTGTGCCATGCTGCAGGGAATTCCTCGTGTTGCCCGAAGGGCACCAACTAACCGCTGGCCACACAGTGGAGAGTCAGGTCTTCCCATTCCAGCTCAAGCTTCTTCGACTCAATTGGGTTCGGCATCCTGGAAGCACTGTGTCTTTAAAAGCGCCATAGGAACATCTGTTTCCAATTTTCAGGCCATGATCATGGTGAGGATTTGGGTGCAAGTAGTTTATGTGGGAAGCAATCCCAGGAAATACTGTGAGGGGCCATCTACAGGGAGAGAAGTGCAGAAAGGTGCATTGATGGGTGTAACTCATCAGCGGCCTTGGGCCATGGGACTGTCCCACTAGGACCCCTGAGCAACATGTAGAACATAGCTCAGAATCCCTCTCCCAGTGGAATAGACTCAGCCAGCCCCCATCTCTTATGGTTGATGGTCCTGTCTGCTCACAAGTCCTTTGGGAAGGAAGAATAGCCATGCCTGCCTTGGCAATTTTGATAATTCATCTCATTCTGAACACACTGTCAGTGTCCAAATGTCTTATTAATTACAATTGGGAGTCTGTCTTTTTAGATGCCCATTCCTGTTTTAGTAGAATTGCTTTAATTCTCTGTTTGTGGGTGTTCCAAGTTTTTCTAGGTAAAATACTGCAATAATTTATACCCAGCTCAGCAGAGGTAGAAGCCAGGCAGGGAGAATAGAAGGCGACCTCTGCATGTCAGCCTCCCATTTCTGGTCCCCGTGATAGCTGCTTAAAACTCCACCTCACTCACTGTCCAACACGCTCACCTGGGACCCTTGGCACGGAGCTGCCTCTGGTGGAGTTAGGCTAGGGCTGTCTCTTGGATGATTTGTCAGGCCATGGCCATCTCCTTTATCTCTTGCATTAACTGGAAGGGATCCTACTTACTAACCACTCCTGGGAGGCACCTCCCAGAATTCCCTGAGTTTGGAACTCCTGAACTCAGTCCCGTGAGACAGGCCCTCTGAGGAGTGAATGCAAGAATTCCACTGAGCGGAATAACCCAGTCAAAGTTTTAGAATCCCAGACTCAGCCCTCCTTTCTCCCCATGTGTCTGAAATCCCAAATCGGAATGGTAATTGCTCCATGGCTGCTGACCCCAGCTGTGACCTGCATCTGGGCGTGCTCTTGAGGCACTTATGGTTGCTTCTCTTGTCCTGCAGCATCTGATGTGTGCTGGGCTGTGGTGCCTGGTGGAGGGAGATACATCCTGCAAGACCAAGCTGGACCCTCCCCTGGACGGCACCGAGTGTGGGGCAGACAAGGTAACACCCAACTTCTAGCAGCCCTGGCAGGCGGCAGCCTCGCACCTCCTGGACACTGAGCTGCTCTCCCTGTGGAAGGAAGGCAGTGTGCACTCTGCTCGGGAGCCTCAGAAATACCCCTGAGCACTGCAGTAACGCCCATGGAGCCCACAGCACACCCATGTGTCTGTATCACCCCTTGTTCCTTACGCAGCTACAAGAATCAATCATTTCCTTGATTTTTTTTTAATTAAATGAACTCCTTTTGTCACACAAGTGAATTCTCTTAAACGGAGGGTTTTTAATGAGTAGGTATTAAACCAAAAACCAATGCACTCGCCATACATTGATGAGAATCTCATGTTGTCAGATTTTGGCTAAATTTTAGGCAGCGAGCTGATCCTTTGGCAGGGGTGAGACTATAAGGTTTGAGGGAAGGACCTGCAGCTACACAGCTTTCTCTTCAGTCTTACTTGCAACCTTTCCTTAGTTGTTTGCTGTTTCCTCCATCCTCCTCCCCTGCTTCCTCCTCCTAACCTCCCCTGCTCCCTCCTCCCAGTCCCCTCCTCCTCTTCTCCCTTCCCCTCAATCTTCCCCTCCTCCTGCCTCCTCCTCCCTCCTCCTCTCCCCCGCATCTTCCTGTCTTTCCCTGCTCTTCCTCCTCTCCTCCACATCTTCCTGTCTTTCCCTGCTCTTCCTCCTCTCCCCCACATCTTCCTGTCTTTCCCTGCTCTTCCTCCTCTCCCCCACATCTTCCTGTCTTTCCCTGCTCTTCCTCCTCTCCTCCACATCTTCCTGTCTTTCCCTGCTCTTCCTCCTCTCCTCCACATCTTCCTGTCTTTCCCTGCTCTTCCTCCTCTCCTCCACATCTTCCTGTCTTTCTCTGCTCTTCCTCCTCTCCCCCACATCTTCCTGTCTTTCCCTGCTCTTCCTCCTCTCCTCAGCATCTTCCTGTCTTTCCCCTGCTCTTCCTCCTCTCCTCCACATCTTCCTGTCTTTCCCCTGCTCTTCCTCCTCTCCCCCACATCTTCCTGTCTTTCCCCTGCTCTTCCTCCTCTCCTCCACATCTTCCTGTCTTTCCCTGCTCTTCCTCCTCTCCCCCACATCTTCCTGTCTTTCCCTGCTCTTCCTCCTCTCCTCAGCATCTTCCTGTCTTTTCCCCTGCTCTTCTTTTATCCCTCTTGAGATAGAGCCTCTATATATAGCCCAGGCTGCCCTGGATCATGCTGTAAAGCCCAGGCTGGCCTTAACCGTGTGTTCTTTCAAGGCCTTCACCTCACAAATAAATGCTGGGATTTCAGGCCTTTTACCACCATGCCTGGCCTGTTGGAAGTCTTGAAAGAGTTAACAACAACAACAACAAAAGGATGTAAAGTTTTATTCTGATGCTGTGCTTGGGAAGTCCTGGATCACACACTCTGGGAAATCTGTTTTAAGGACTGACTTTCTTTTATCCTTAGAAAGAACCAAGGCTCATCTACCCACAGCTAACCCCCACCCCAACACCCCCATATGCACACCACCATCACCACCAATCTGGCTAGCCCAGGCTGGTTTCCCATTTGTGGTACTCTCCCGTCTCAGCCTCCCACATGCTGGGTTCAGAAGCAGGCACCACCACACCTGACTTTGTCATTTCTAAGTACTAAAGCCAGCCCTGAAGCTCTGGCCTCAGATCCTGAAAACGTCGTCTTCTGGAGAGAAATACACATGCATTATTCAACTTGTCCACACCCTTAGTTCTGTTCTCATGCCACGTGGATCCGTCCTTTTCTTGAGAATTTAGGAAATCTCTGTGGAACACATTCCCTGTATAAATTAGTGGCAAGCTCCAAACTCCAGGGAGATTACAGGCACCAGGCTGAGCAAGCATTAGCACACATGCACACCCTGAAATACCCTGCTTCCATGGAAACGTCAAAATGGACTTTGACACCAAGAGGGAAATCAGTCCTTTGGGGAGCAAGTGGCTTTGCTGAGTGTGGCCCTTTCGTGTGTTTCAGTGGTGCCGGGCTGGGGAGTGTGTGAGCAAGACACCCATCCCAGAACATGTGGACGGGGACTGGAGCCCATGGGGCACCTGGAGCATGTGCAGCAGAACGTGTGGGACGGGAGCACGGTTCCGGCAGAGGAAGTGTGACAATCCCCCGTAAGTTTCCCCTGACCCCCCGCTGCAAGGGGCAGCCCATTCTGCGATTCTTTTCCCCTCATGCAGAGAAGTGCATTAGAAAGGGCAACAGGATAGACTGAGGTTGAGTTTGAGGGCCTGGAGTGTGTCCTGTCATCTTTGCGGAGCTCTTTCTGAGCACAGGGACACAGTAGAGTCCCAGGGCAAGTTGGCTCCCTTATCCCTTACTTGGCTGTGGTATAAAGACTCCCTGGGACAGACAGATGACAATCTGTCTTGCCTATGCCATGGTCTTCTTAGTTGAGGGACATTCTCAGAAAGCCTGGAGACCTTCCCGAAGGGGAGGCTGACCTTCAACTTGCTGCTCACAGATTTGGGAGCAGGTAGAACGTGTGTCTGGGAGTATCTACGGGTTCAGTATTTGTTAAGCTAAATCGTTTTCACTATTTTTCCTTCTAGAACTATTAGACAGAAAAAAACCTGATGTATTTTTCTAAATTCCCTTTTATGAACTATGATACACCAAGACCCTTCCTGTTCACCCCAGGACATTTGCTCTGGAAAACTCAGGGACAGATTTTCATGCTCTATTATAGTAATTACATCTCCATGGGTTTTCTCCTTCTCTGAACTTTCCCAATTGTAAACGTTCGCTTTGACCATCTGCTTTCTCTCTAGAGTGTCCTCAGTCAGGTCCCATCTGTTTGGAGAGTGAGCAAATGATAAATTGTGTCTAAACATGAAATGGTTTTCCACAGCGAAGTCATGTTGATGAGGAATTAGCAGATACCCCTTGTTTGTAAAAACTCCCAAAGCTCGGGCTGCATAGTTAAATCATGGGGGTGGGCCATGCAGTTGATGCCTTAACGGTCCCAGGTGATGCCAAGGGCCAACCAAGGCTGGGAACCTTCTTTGTAAGGAGAGCTGACATCCATATTTTAGTGGGTGGCCATCACATAGCAGTTTTCAGTCGTCCTGTAACAAATGGCATTGTGCAAAATGTCTTTTTCAATTAAGATACAGCTGAATGTCTGGCGCACTACACAGTCGGTGTTTAACCTGTCAGGAATGACTTTCTTAACTTAAAGCCTGAGTGACATCTTACTAGTGAGGGAGATGATTAAAAACTTCAGCTGAGAAATGATTGGACAGTAGGCTTTTTTTTTTTTTTTTTTTTTAACTTGGCTCAGTTGAAAGTAACAGCTTGGGCTCCCAAAGGAGAGGTGTAGGTTGGATTCATAGAGCTGATGTTTGGGCCCCTGGTCATTGGCCTTTGACCTCAAGGGAGACCCTTTTGTTCCCTAGGCCTTGGGTTCCCCTATTAGAGGCCACTGGCATGTAAGAAGAGGAAGAACCAAATGTGAAAACTGGCACAGACCAGTCTTCAAGTCCAATCCTGTCCCCTACCCTACAGCACCTGGTAGCTTTTACTGGTCCTACCTACAAATTGTGAAAATTTGTTGGGCTGCCTATAAAGCTGTTGGCACTTCATCCATGGTCCGTATCATCAGCAACACGGGCAGAAGAACCAGGATGAAGCCATCCACCTTGTCCCTCTAGCTCACAGAGCTGTATTGCCACTCAGCACAGGGTGAGAACCAGGATGAAGCAAGCCATCTGCCTTGTCCCTCTAGCTCACAGAGCTGTATTGCCACTCAGCACAGGGTGAGAACCAGGATGAAGCCATCCGCCTTGTCCCTCTAGCTCACAGAGCTGTATTGCCACTCAGCACAGGGTGAGAACCAGGATGAAGCCATCCGCCTTGTCCCTCTAGCTCACAGAGCTGTATTGCCGCTCAGCACAGGGTAAGAGGGCTTATATGAAGCACAGGAGGCTGCCATGGGTGCTCTGGGTTTAGAGCTCATGGATACTGGCCTCCTTTGGCTTATCACAAATGTCAGCTCTTATCAGGTGATACCCAGTAGACATCACACAGAGCCTCTAAATGTTCAGCATCCCCTCCGTTCTGACATGCTGGGCACTTTAGTTGTGTTTAGGTGACAGCATACTTGTTCACATCACATGTTTTCCCAGTGCTGGGGAAAGGCATTAGGCACTATTTAAAGGGCCAGTGTTGTCCTTTTGTCTTGCAGCAGTATTGCTAAGATCCCCTGCAGGAGACAAGCTGCAGAGGAGACTTTCCAGAGTCTCCTTTGTGGCTTCCCACCAGGGCTGGTTCCCTGTCGCAATCTGAGCTGCATCTTGACCTGTTGCTCTGGGCTACCCTAGGGACATTTTGTAAGACCGCATAAGACTTCCCATTTCCTAGAGCCCTCTCTGTACCCTCTCTGGCTTGGCCTGCTGTGAGGTTTTATGTGTTGGGATCTAGACCCATCCCTCCAGATCCAGTGGCCCCAGAAGACAAAGTGCTCACAACATTTTTCTTTTAGCTTCATTACCAGTGCCCACCATGCCCTACTTGTACTGAGACCCTCGCCCCAGCCCTGCCCCCATCATGAATTTTATCTCTTGTTCACCCTCCTGTGTTTTATCACTTTGGATTGAGAGAACCGGCAACCACACGGACAGCTGCAGGACTGTGGGGTCTTCACACATTGGTGTGGCGCACAGGCGTTCCTTCTTGCCCAGGCTCCACTGGCCCAATGGCTGTGGGGAGACCAGTGATAAAAGTGTACCAGAAAGAGAAGGCCGCTGTTCTCGCTCCTTCCAGGCCTGTGTTCCTTCTAACAGATGCTCTTTCAACTGGATGCTTGCAGTAAGCATTGAGTCTAAGGAATGCTGGGCATGGGTTTACAGTGAAAAGTAAAGCATATAAAATCCTGCCTGCCTTCCCATGATTCCCTCTGCCTGTGTTTCAAATTGAATCCCTTGTAAGCTACCCTCTCCTCCCTGCTCACTTCTAACCTCTTCATACATATCACCTCCATTACCGCCTTGCTCAAGGGCATAGCCCCATGCCCATGGCTACCTTTTTTTCTTATTTACAGCTATTTATAATAAGTCTGGTGAATGGGGCCCACAATTACCATGTATCAATTTCCTAAGGCATAGTGGAATGCATGGGCTCAGTCCGTTATTAGCCAGGCAGTTCTGTGGGAGAGACACCCTTTTATCCCCATTGTGCAGATATAAAACTGAGTCATGTAACAATTAGATGACTTGCCCATGGTCCTACAGGTAGGTAGTAACCCATTGGCATGGTAATTTCTCTAAAAAACCAGAAATCAAAAATCAAAGGTATCCACATGGTTGGTTCTTCCTTGAATACCTGAAATAGAGTGTGTCTCCTGTGTTTGCTCTAACTTCCAGTGGCTCTGGTGGCCTTTGTCCCCTGGCTTATAGACTGTCTACCTGCCCTTTCATGTGGTCTCTCTACCTTTTCTTCTCCTGGAAGGGCTTTTACCATTGGATTTCAGGCCTGTGCAGTCTGAGATGTTCTCAGCTTAAGATCGTAAAGTACATCTCCTACAACCATTTTTCTGAACGAAGACCATTCTCATGTTCCGGGTCAGCGTGTCTTAGGGGACCAGCATGGCCACCATTCAGCATGCTCCCACCTTGCAGGATCTTGTCCATTCTTCAGCCACAATGATCCAACCCAGACCTTCATCAGTGTGCTCTCCTGGCCCTAACTGGCCTTCGCTTAGATCTCAGTGGAAGCCTCTTCTCCTCAGAGGAGCCCCTTCCCTGACCACCCCGTTTTAAGTGAGGTGAAGTGTCACCCTGTGCACCCTTCCAGCATGGCTGGGTCTCTTGTGTCTCAACTCAGTTGATTCTGCTTTGTTCCCATTGGCTTTGGAGCTCCATGAAGGCCTAGGGCCGGCTCCACCATCCCTTCCCTGCCTACAGCAGAGCAGTAGCTCAATAAAATATGCCGGGACATCTCCTTGCCTGTTTTCCCAAGGGAAAGCAATCTTTCTGCCCTTCCCAGGCCTCTATGACATATCCTGAATGTCTCTTTTCCCCTCAGAAACACAAAAATTAACTGAAACAATCAGACCAAGTAATAGATCACCAGTAAGCCCCCTTACTTGTATAGAGTCTTGGATGCTCTAAAAAGCCAGGCACTGTAGCCCACCTTTCCCCTGCAATGCTATCACTCACAGCCAGAAATGCTCAGGAAGGAGCCTGAGCATGTCACCCCAGTCTTGCCTATTTCAACCTAGAGCATGACCTTGTTTTGGTCCTGTAATTTTGACACCTTGCTAGTCAGTCTGATCATTCACTGTGACCATTCAGCTCCATTTCTTGTTGGGAATGGGAACAGCTCACCCTGTCTCCTTGGGAAATGTTCTTCAAGAGTTCATCCTACCTTCCTGGAGCCAACGAAGATGAGAAGGGAAAACCCAGTCAGACTTTGGGCAGGTGGATCTGCAGCAGCCCTGAAGTGTTTCCTGGGTCAGCATTCAGGCAGTTAGGGCTTGCAGCCTAGGGCCTGATCCTGAACAATGTCTGTGGGGTGACTTACAAAGCACAGCTGATCATGGCCTCTGAGCCAAGAGCTGACCCAAACAACATACTCTCTGTCTCACTCCTTAAATCAGACAGCTCACTGCCCTGATATTTCAGGAGATGGCCAGAGCTCACTGCTGTGAACAGCTTGGAATACTCCCATGAACCTCTCCCCATGGCTCTATCTGCACATCCCTGGCCCCTTTCCTTCCATTCTGCAGCTGGTTTATTCACTGTCCAGAGATACTGGCAAGAGATTTCCCCATCACCCCATCCTCTTTCCTGGCCCTGGTCTTTGTAGCTATTGGTGTTTTTACTTCCCAGTGTACACAGAGGGGGAACCATCCATGTTTTGTTTTGTTTTATTTGTAAATGTTGATTTTCTTTAATTCTTTTAATTTTTATTTTATGTACACTGGTGTTTTGCCTGCATGTATATCTGTGTGAGGGTGTCAGGTCCCCAGGAACTGGGGTTACAGACAGCTGTGAGCTGCCATGTGGCTGCTGGGAATTGAACCCAGGTACTCTGGAAGAACAGCCAGTGCTCTTAACATCCATGTTTTTAAACCAGCTTCCTAAGTTTGTTCTTTCCTACCATTTCTATTGTT